TAACATTTTTTGATCAATATGAATTGTTTCAATTTTAATTTAGCTTCTATCTGACCCGATTTCAATTTATCAGAATCGATTATTACTGTTAATGGCTATAATAACTCTCCTAGAACAATCAGAAAAAACAGGTCATTCAGCTCCCATCTAGAAAAAATCAAAGTTAAGCATACCTTAGAAGAGTGATTTGATGTTATTTAAATTTTTACTTTTATTCTTCAAAAAGAAGGAAAGTGTACAGAGAGGAAAAAATATAAAATGGTGAAGAAACGAGACTGAGCGCTTTCAAATTCTCTTTCAAAGCCTTGAAGAGAGGTGAACGTAACTGGAAATGGTGAAGAGCTTGAGACTGATTATAACTTTTTATTGGCAAATGTTTATCGGAAAAAATGCTACTGTATGTGAACGGCTGTGTTTTTCATACAGAAGTCATAAACGTATGAAACTCAATAAGAATAAGATCATAGAACAATCATCTTTTAACGAAGAAAATTCGCAGACTAATTTCTGTTGATGTATGAAACTCAGTAGGAAAAAGAATACAGATTAATCACGTTTTAATGAAGAAAAAAATTTTTTTTTCGACTAATTTTTCCGGATGTGAAGATTTTGAAAATGTTGTGCTGCTCTGGTATTTGCGCTTTATTAATGAACGGGTTTTCTAGGATAATTGAAAATTATTTGTGTAGCGGATCTATTTTGCTTAGATTGAACAAGCTGCGTGTTTAAATCACAATCACAGGGTATCCACGGATGCCACAAGTCTTTTGTTCTTTTTTGTGATATCCTGCACTTTAGTAAAAATAAAATCTTACCTTATCTTAAAAGTATTGGACGCTGCAGTATTAATCCAAGCAAGAAAAATGAAGCTAGAATAGGGTGGTTGGAGGTAGCTAACATGGTTTTCGATCCGATTAAGCTAGCTCCATCTCAAAAAGTTTAATCTAGAATCGGACGGTTCAACCTACTTTAGGGCGGTTGGAAGGTTATCATCAGGGTTAGCCGTCGGCTTATCCACCTGGTCACGCTAGCTCTATTTGATCTAGTTCCAACCGCCCGCTCATGTTAGTTCCTGACATTAAATACATTAGATACAAGAATATATCTAGGCACTCAATGCCTTTTCTTACTCTTGATTCTCTACAAAAAAGAGAAATCCGCTCTTTTCCATATTACTCACTAGAAAACCTCACTATATTGTGATTCTGTTTCTCTCTAGACTGAAGAAAGAAGCGTGATCTTGATTATAAGACAAAATGGATGTTTCTGGAAAGAAAATCTATTGCTTTTTTGGAATCGAGCATTTAGCAGAATTTCTAAAACCGTGATTCTAAACGGCAAGGACATTTGAAGAAACTTATAAATCAATTTTAGTACGAAGCAAGAAAGTAGAAAATTATAATCCTTTTGCAGATTCAAACCTGCCAGATAGTAATACTTTTCTGTTTCTTGTATTTTCTTCTTCAAAAAAGCATTTTCGAAAATTGTGTCTTGAACAAAAAATCTGGCAAATTATTTTCTAAATTTTATGTATGTGTTCGGACGGTATTTACTGTTTTTCACCATGTAGAACGATTTCTGAAAATCTGGTCCGAACACATAGAATTCAGAAAATTAAATTTGCCACGTTAAAGTTGCCACAGACACAACTCTCGAAAATGCTGTTTCGAAACCGAAACACCAATCTCTAAAATATCTTCTGATTGATTTCATCCCTTATCAACTACTACATGTGTGCCTGGTAGCTTAGTTGGTTAAAACATCGCGTACTTCCAATCTCAATTCTGATATACTACATACATTATAGTCAGCAAGTTCGATTTCTGATTGTTCTAGGAGAGTTATTATAGCCATTAACAGTAATAATCGATTCTGATAAATTGAAATCGGGTCAGATAGAAGCTAAATTAAAATTGAAACAATTCATATTGATCAAAAATGTTAAAGGCAACAGTGAAAGTTGGTCAACGGATATTTCTTTGATCGGACGAATTGATGAAAATGGTGCACATGCAGTTTTCGAAGGTTGGGCTGCATGGTAAGTCTCTCTTTCTGACTCATTCTGAAAGTACTATCTTCAATAATATAATTTTTGTATTATCTAGTAATCATTGTTTGACAACGTATCGAACGCATTCAAAGAAAGATGCTCAAGGCCAGAGAAAAAATTATGGTTTAAATTCTTTGCATGTGCATGTGAGAGATTGTGCTTATAAACTGAAGTCAACAGCATCTCGAGCATCACCAGCAAGCACCACTCAAGTATCACCATCCAGTCAATCATGTATGCCAAAATTTGCCTACAATAAAAATAAAATTTCGGATAAATATCAAGCTAAATTGAAAGATGCTGAATTAAAATTTGTCGTTGCTGGCTCACATAGTTTCAATTCATTAGAAAATAATGGAATATTGGAATTATTACAAGTAGGAATTGAAATTGGGAGTGATTATGGACTAATGGATGTGCATGATGTATTTTGTGGACGTAAAGCAATTCGTGAACAGTTGTTATTAAAAAATTTAATACATATATTAAATCGATTAGATCGATGCTTAATGAACCAATAAAAGAGCATTGTTTGGCAGCAACATGTGATTTATGGACTAATGATATGGTAAGAAGGTCGTATTTAGATTTTACTGTGTTTTGGGTCAACAAAGAATATGAATTAAAACATTCATTGTTACGATGTAAATACTTCGAAGAAGACAGTAAAACAGCAGTAAATATTTGGAGTGAATGTAAGTGAAGCAGATTATTCTCATTTTAGAACGAGCTTTTAGGTCGCTCTGTCTCTTAATATGCGTCTTTTTTATATATTTAGTAAAAGATATTTTTAATTCATTTAATCTGTCGTATGGTGATACACCAATAACAACCGATGCCGGTTCCAATATGGTTGCTGCTTTCAAAATAACGGAAGAAGCAAAATTTCCATGTATGGCCGATAAGAGAGAGAGATCTTTTCTTGGCTAACTATCGGTTCATTTTAGGCCTACGAGAATGATAAATCCATATTATGGATTAGTAGTTTCTACTTCATGTGCGGGGATTTTCCCCTGAGCAAATATGGGTGATTAAACACTCGTTATGTGGCTCAGACAGTGATGTAATACAGTGTTAGAAACAGCCTGGAATGAAACAATAAAGGAACAAAAGGATTTTGAAACTTTTTGTGATTGTGTGAAAGATTTAAGGAAGTATGTTCAACAAACCGGTGGAATACAATCTAAATTACCGAAAACAATCAAAGGTGGTAGTGGTACTCGTCCATGGAGATCTTACTTTACAGTTCATGATTCATTGAATGCTTCTTTTGAAACATTAGTACAAATTTTACGTG